TTGTTTGCGTATATAAATCGTAAAACTCTTCTTAAGCCTTATCTGTGCATGTGTTTTTATAATGAACCCTACCACGATGAACCTAACAGGCTCACATTCAGAACGGAATCCCGTGTCTTGGATAGGGACATGTTTCTAGTTCAAGTTTATTTATGTATCCAAAAAAGCTATATAAAAACAAAACGTTATACACACAAGTCATATATTTATACCTACACCACTTGTGGTACACGGTGTATTAAGTTTGTGCGAACGTATGTAACACGCAGAAGTGCTTAAAGTAGACGCACCTTTCATAATACCGACCGCATCAGAATCGTTTCCAAAACCGATCTAAGCCTGCCTGTTTGTCTGTCTCTACGTATCCGTCTGTCTTTGGTATACAGGCATATTTTTTGGCCCATGTACAAATATTATTGAAAATGGTTCGGATCGGTTCACTTTTTCGACCCATATAATGTCCTACTTCGAAAAGTCATTATATGGAAAAAATTGCAATTTTCAAAATTTTTCGACAAAAGTGGTTAAGTGATAGTATTTTGGATTTTGGCTCGAGCAATTTTTGAACCTTCATTCATATAACGCAAACTGAAGTTCATATGACAAAAAAGTCAAATTTTCAATACTTCATGGTGAAAATCAGGTCGTAACAGTAATTTAATTACATTTTGCATCCTAACCTATATAGAGATTTTCACGAGAATTGATCCCTTGTAGGGCAGAGAAATCTAAGTTTTAAGATTTTGTAATAAAAATTGATCCATAAGAGTAGTATTATATAAGAATCCAGTCTTACGGAAAGTATGCCTTTGTTTGCAAAGCCATATAATTTTTAATGTACAGTCCCATAACAGTATGTTCCTATAAAAACAATGTAGAATTTTTGGATTCTATGACAAAAATATGAATTGTGTTAGATAATGTGATATAGTGTATCTAATAGTCGGCCAAGCCCGACTATGATGTTCTCACTCGTTTTTGATTTCGGTTTATATGCAGCAAAATAGAAACATCTTTAAAAAGAAAACGCATAGGAAAGACGCATACTCAGATGGGCGTGGCTTATTATTTCCGTTTTTGTATTATAAACACGCATCTCTTATGGTTTATAACGAAACGACCAACAAACCACGAGAGCAGAAATGTTTTCAGTTTCTTGAGCAGTGCAGGCGTGCCCCTTAACCGATTTAGCTGATTCTCTATTTCCATACTGCAACTTGGATGCGAGAAATAACCCATAAAAATGTAAGCTTGTAACAGACATAAACTTTGGTTCAATTCATGACCCGTAAAGAAACTATCAAATACGATATTGCTGTTACGGTTTTGAAACGGCCTGCGCAGTTCGTCAACGAACCTGTGTCCGAAATCTCGGGTCGATTGGATGTTTCTCGGCAAAGGTGGTGAGAGTCATCGTAGTACGATTCGTTAGTAAGACGAAGATGGGCAATTTTGACATTATGACTAACTCTAACTGTAAATGTACAAATATTTCTTTTTGTGTGATTGTTAATGTAAAGCAAAATCAAAAAAGAAATTTTTGGAAGTGCAATATAAGCTCAAAGTTCAAATGAGCTTAAAAGGCTTAGGATGCATGGGTTAGGGTGGACAAGATATCATAAATAAATAGTTGAGAAATATATTTTCCGACCGGTGCCCTTATTAGTTTAATAACTCACCAACGGAACGTCACCAGTATATCCATATAGCTCTCACGATAAGCATGACATATATTAGAGGCTTAGAAGTCTATGCTACTCGGTCAAGAAAATTTATAATGCGTCATATATTGTAATTTTATTTGAAGACATACAGTGTCACTGGATGATGGTTTTGAGTTCATAATTGGAAAACATAGAAGAACATATTGCGCTCAAGTCTTTAATATAGGAAACCGTGACCTATTTAGCTACGCTAATACAAAGGTTGTAAATTCACCGATGTGTTGAGATGGGAATGAGCTACGTTCGCGCAAACTAGACTTAAGACACGGCCCACCATTAAATACCGTATACTAATTCGATTAATGCACTTATTCCTATTACTAGTTTTCACAATAAGGTTTTTTATGAGAAGTGGCCGGACAAGTGGCTCCATTTGAACCATATTTAAAAGCGCCTGTCTCCGGTCCAAAACGCGTTGATGTAGCAAATTTGGCCAATATATCTTAAAAGTCCGACTTGTGGGATGAACATAAAAATACAAGACCAGCCACCGAGCAGGCGGGCAGACAATCGATCGGTATAATGAGAGATGGGTTTATGTCAAGCGTTGCATAATCAGCAACATAGGGTATAAGACTAAATTTTGTATCGAGGAATTATTGCCTAAAACGCCCGACAAATTCGAATACAAGCTCAGTTTTTTTTTTTTTTTTTTTTTTTTTTTAATATACACCATTTCAAATGTTTGAAGCTATGTGAGGAAAAAATCGATTGCAAACGAACAACATTATATGAATTCATACGCGCAATACATCAATCAACTGGTAGTTCAGTACAGTAAAAAGATGTATTATGAACACGGATACATAACGTACGTGTTTATGTTAAGAAAAATTTATTTGAAAATATTTCTCATCTATTATTCATTAAATCGCTTTTCCCGTATAGTGTACAAGAGCACAAAAATCGCAGAAATCATAGAAATCACAGAAATTTTATCATTTACAACATATTTAATGAAGTTAATCGTAGTAACAACAACAACATTGATGACGTACATAAATGAATAAATACAGTAACATAGCACGCACAAGCAAAACATCACAAAAATTACAAATTGACGCCTACAGCTTATGCTACACTATATCACAACATCATCTCAGGCCACGTGATGATAAAACAGACGAACACAAAATAATGCAAATGGCAGTTTTATCACAGCATTAAACAACAATAACAATAACAACAACTAGAGTATTCCAGTTGTAGACAAATGCGCTTATTCGAAGAGTAAATGAGTAAAAAAATATGTGCGTGTTTGTAAGACACAGAAAACAAGGAGAAAAAAAGAAAAAAAAAAAAATCTAACGAAAAAAAAAAAGTGAATATACGAGACATGTTTAGTTAAACGTGTCGTCGTATATTGGTTACAATGTTTGTACATATACGCTCACGCACACACACACACACACACACACACACACACACGCACGCACACACAAACACGCATACGCACAAGGTACATTGGCATAGGCATAGGCCTAGGCATACGCGCAAATGCACACACATAATAATTTATGCTTATGATGAGTAAAATGATTAATTACCAAAGAATGAGGCAAAATGTACTTGAATTCATCATCTACACAAAATGAAATGAAATGAAATGAAATGAAATGAAATGAAATGTGAAAGCGCCACACTCTCTCGTCTCATAAAATTTACCCCCATAAGGGACGGCGAACAGTCGACAAATGGTCGGCAGTTTGTAAATGTTATGTTTTTCTAGTATGAATACGCGTTTGTGACTCAGGATTATGCAATTCTCTCATCTCTCATCATCATATACACATACTTACGTGTGTAATCATCAAACATATGTATTTCTATATATGAACGAATGTCACATATTCTCTTCATACATATTCAATTAATTCGTATAAATGTTGTTTATATATATATATATATATATATATATCTATACATATATATATACGTTTATGCATGCATTTGTGAGTGTATGCGTCTCGGCTTGTCTATGGACAACATCATTGCGTCAGATGATGAATGATGGATTTTATGAGTCTTAGAGTATCATAGACAGATGATGGGTGAAAGACAGACTGAGTGGAAAAAAAAAAAAAAATGCGCATGAAACAGATGAAAGAGAATATGGGAGGAAGAAAGAAATGGGAAGTCGATTTGGATGACAGTATGCAAATTGACAATAACAATAATAAATTGTATAAAATTGTACTCACACACTCATACATGCAAATACGCATTCACATATAGTTTATATTGTCGTTCTTACTGTAACACTTTGTATGTGTGTTTTTATGGACAACACGACAAAATGCAAATTAGTTTACTATAAAACATTTGTAATGTTTGCAAAGACTGTGATTAAATTTTAAGGGGGAAAATTGTAAATTGCTTGCAAGCATTATATGTACAAGAATGTACAAGCACGCATGCATGCATACATACATATCTACGTATATATATAAAGAATTGTATATATACATTTGTATATAATAAACTCATATCATCGGTTGTATAGTAAACCCATTTACGTATGTTTTCATACATCTCCACATATGCATAAGTGATACATTATTAGTCCTTAGTAAGTGTTGCACTTGACAGTTGTAATTACAACAAGTTATCTTAATTGAATTTTGGACATGAGAAATTATGACAGAAAACATATATATATATATATATATATATATATATATATATATATATTATAAATAAAATTATACATATATATATATATATATATATATCTGTATATATATAAACATGCATTTTTATACGGTAACAATTTTTTTTTTTCGTTATTCTCTCCACTGGGTACCAAAAATAATTTAAATTCCAAAAAGGAAATCAATAAAAAATGCACAAATTTTTTTAAAAAATCTAAAAATCTTTCTTCCCTCAACGCTATCTGCAAATAATATCAAAACAAATGACACAACAACAGCTTTATAAGATTACACAACACGCGTGCTTAGACCGTAAAAAAGCGGGAAAATTTGTACCCTCACTGCCGCATGTTTACAACAAATTTGATGACAAAAGGATTTGCGTTTTTATTGTTCCTTTTTTTTTTAAATTTAAAATTTTAAATCTTTTTTAGTGCCGTACTCTAAGCCCACGCACACTTCATTCAATTCATTTTTTAGTTTCCATTTGATTTCTAAGCCTTTGTAATTAAAATGCAAATTTTCTTCTTTTTCTTCTTCTTCTTTGGCCTTGTTTCAATTTGGTCTTTTTTGCTTTTTTTTGTTTTTTTTTGTTTTGGCTATTTGTTACTGTTTGTCTTCTTACCTTCACTTGTGATTCGGTCATTCCTAAGGCATAGGCTAATTTAGCTCTTTCTGGTCCGGCCAGATATTTGGTTTGCTCAAATGTCTTTTCCAAGGCAAATATTTGTTGGCCACTAAATGTTGGGCGAGTATGCTTCTTTTTTCCATCCTTGTCGTTCGCTTGATGGTGCTGATGGGATTGCGATAAATTGGCGGACACTAAGAAGAAGAAAAGATAACAAGATAAACAACTTACTGTAAAAAACCAAAGCACACGATAATTATTAAGTTAATTTAATCTTATTGCAGCCTTCGTCTACTGAGGAAAACATTATGAAAACTGACGACAATCCGAGCTTCTCTATTCGCTCATAATTTACCTTATGACGTAAGTTATATGAAAAACTCCGTCCGAATTAAATTAAATTAAAGGAAATATAAAGGAAGCCGGCTTCTAACGAAGTTAACAGATTGCAAAATATTGCCTACACACGTAAATATTACAATCCTTACGTATTTTCTTACGCACTAAGATCTAATTTTCTGAGTTGACTAACGCTGCCAGTTGCAGGTAAGGGCTTCATTATCGTCTGCTATTTATTTGGCTTTTTTATCACAAGCCATTTGAATATCCAACGCTTGGGCTTAAATTTTCAGTTTCAATATGAGTAGCACAGTTATTGAATAGTAGACGAGGCGGTCGAGCTCGTGCTACGCTGAAACTTATTTTCACTGTTCCTATCGGTGCCCGAGAACGAGAGCTTAAAGAAAAGCAATCAAAATATCTCTGATGCTTAGCATCTTTTTACATACGCGTCGCATCACCCAAAAAGGACCCTTGAATTTTTTTTTTCTTTGATGGCTAAAAAAAAAAGAAGGGAAAAAGCCGATGTCAGCAACAATACATTTTAATATTTTTTGCTTTTACGGTTTCACTAGAGCATCAAGTGACAGGTTTCGCGTTTTCTCATTTTCATATAAAGTGAAAAGTTTTGTAAAAATCGAAAAGTTTTTTTTTCATAAGCCTGTTAACAATTCAAACTTTCATCATTAACATGAAAATGTACAGAATGATGTCAACTATGAATTAATGTCCTGTGACAATCATAACATGGAACGGATGGCCGCTTTGTCAGTATTATTTAAAGGATATGAAAAATTAATAAAAAAAACAAACAAAATTCCAAAATATATGGTTCGGATCGAATATTGCACATTGCCCGCTCTTGTCTTTTTTTAATTTTTGCCTTTTTTTGCATCACTGTAGGACGAGGGCATACTTGCAACTTATAACTTGCATCTCTGTTTGCTGGACCCCGAAGAAGCCATGAAAGATCAAGTTCTAAGATTTTTAGTTGATTTACTACATGGTTATCTATTCTTCCAGCCTTTCGCTCTCAGTTAATTCTAGGATTTCATGGTTATGTCAATTAAAATAAAAAGTGGGATAAATATAGGACATGTATGTCCGATGATTATAGATTAAATTAAAAGTTATTCGTAACTATGTTAAATATGTTAACCTCTCCGTCTAAATAAGTAAAATACACATATACAAAACCCCATCAAAATTAAAAAGCAAAAGAAAATGAAAGAATATATACGGACTTGGACGAGTCTTTCGTGTCCGTCGCTTATATCTTGAAAATAAATGAAAAAATTATATTCAATTGTGTTCGAAATTTTTACGCCAAACACTTTTATTTTGTTACAGTATTGGGTGGGCTGGACAGATTTTTTCATATTTTTGGCAGTTTTTACGCGTGAAGTTTTATTGTACGTCTGTTGGCTGATGCGTAGCGAGGAAAACGCACCGAAAGTAGAGGAGTTTTCTATTTAGATTACTCGTGTCTTAGGATGATACGACCCATTCTAGAAGACTTCTCGTGCTATTACCAAAATTTAGACCCGAACTTTTCATATTTGAGACGAGTAGAAAGTTTACGACAAACATTATATAAAGCAGCATTATATACACGGTGTGCCTAATAGGAAAATAATTTGAGACTGACAGCTTGTAGAATCTTTGAACCTTCCATCTGGATGTTGTAATCCCCGTCCCTCGGTGATGGGTATAACGAAGCATTTCATCATTTAAGTATTGGCAAATGGTAAGCGCAATGTGCTATGTAAGCAACAGCGTACCCTTGTCCAATCGATACATAAATATATTGCAACAGAACTTTTACTTACTTTTACCATACTCTGTGTTTATTATACAAAAAAACTTGATGTCCAGCATGAAGTGTACCGGAAAATATAACACAGAAAAGGTGTAAAATTAGTATTAGTACACACGCACAAATTAATCCCATAATGAGAGATATATATTACGAACAGAGGGATAAATTTGTATTTTGCAGACCTTTTCGAATGGTTTGATTCAATGGTTGAATGTAGACCGAGTTTTGTGATTTGAAGCGCTGGGCTGAAAGACGGAAGAGCCTAAAACTTGAAATTCTAAAAAATAAAAATATATGTTAACGGACTACAACAGTACACTAAATTGCCTTTGTTTTGTGCATATAACTTATTGGTAATATTTGTACACCAACTGTACGACTTATAAAAACGAAATAATGGATAATAAAAGACCTTAGTTGGGATGAGAGAAACTTTTGTAAATTAGACATTTATTAATTGTTTATGCGGTTGTTTCGTCTTTTTCCTTAAAATCGAACACAATACAACGAGCACAACACAGCACAGATTCGTTGCACAGCTGTTGAGCATTAACTGGAAAATTTTTAAGTTTGAAATAATAGATGAGGACTCGCTGCTGCATTGTCCCTTGTATGTAAACTTTTTAAGTGAAAAACAGATTGTCTGTCTTCTAACAAAATATTGTTGTGCTGCAAGGGTATATTAAGTTTGTATAGATGTATGTAACACCCAGAAGGATCTTGGGGATATTTTAACTTTTCATTATATCGATCGATTCAGAAGCATTCTCTTAATGCCGGTTTTATGCCTGTTTGTCCGTCTGTCCGTTTCGTTCTGTTCAACCTACAGTTTCTAATTTCTGGGATTAACTGATGAAATTCGGTACACTGGCGTGGTTTAGCACAAAAAGCCGAACGTCATTGAAATCCGTTCAGATCGGACCACACTTTCAGCCATTTCTCAGTATAACTCTAGGCTGATATAGGGTATTGAATTGTGCGTCGCAGTCTGCTCTAGCGTTTTCAGTTGGTATTTTTGTTTCTATTTTTATTTATTTGTTTATTTATCTTTTTATTCAAAAATCATTTATTTTATACTTAGAATTGCTATCTTTCGAGAAATAAATCTTTAATGATGATCAACTAATTACAAACTAATTTCAGTTAATTTTCTTGTTTGCTGATTTACTGTAAATATATTATGCAAAATATAAGAGTTTGGGCAGCGGTATAAGTGGACAAAATTAATTGAATTGTTAGGGGACAAATTAAAACGATAAACCGAAATTAAAGCAAAACAAATTGACCGCAAATTAATTTACAGTGGCATAGAACCTCCCTTCAATCCCAATACGATCATCATCATTTTCATCATTATCATTATCATCAGCGTTGTCGTCGTCATCGGTAGCGTCAATATTATTATCGTCGTCGTTACTACACCTTCAAGGATGTTTCTCTTCTAGAGAGGTAGAATTAAATGCTAAAACCGCATTCGGGCAAACATTTAAACCTTCCCGCTAGCTTTCATCTACTTGAATCCAAAGCAAATGGGTAATAAAGGCATTAAGCCAATAAAAGGCTATTATAACAAACAAAACGCCCCCCTTAGGAAATGGTACTTAACTGCTTGCTGCACATGGAAAGCGGAAATTTATACAATACATATAAATGTGATGGGTTCCTTTCTACTACGACATGACGTTCGTTGGTGTATGCCATATATAGTCTACTTAAATACTTGATGTCACCCTATTATAAAATTTTGTTATTCTCCGAATTCCGCTGCTAATTATATGAGAAATGTGTTTCTGTATATTTATATATATATATATATATATATATGTGTGTGTGTGTATGTGTGTTTCATTCTTCTTACTTTTTTTTTTTTTTGCTTCATTATACTTCCTCCCCAATAGCTGCCTATGTTTCTCCCCTTTATCCTAATCATTTTAAGGTAGTTTAGTGTTTGTCCTCAACCATGTCGTCAACAGTTTTCGTAGGCATTATAAAGTCAGCATAAAATGTGTTTACGGCCATTTAACCATTTTGGGTTTTGATAGATTGTGCTTAATATAATGAGACGCGGAGAGAGTGAGGACCAAATAAAGGACGAGAACAAGAACGAGAACGAGAACGAGAGAGAGAGAGAGAGACCGATACTATAATGAAAATGAGAAGCATGACTACGAAGATAATAATGATTGCGGTCTTAGTGGTAGTAGTCTGCGTTTAAGGGTTGGTTGTTGTTAATAAATTGTTTTGCTAAAGTTATTGGTGTACCTTCTCACTCTTTTTTTCTTCTTTTGTTAGCGAATCCCTTAATGACCCTTTTGGGTACAAACTGTAAATGTGAAGCTTGTTTTTGTTGTGCTAACATAAATTTTTTAAAATATTAATTTTGCGAGAAAATGCTAATCAAACAACTATTTTCAATGGGTTTTTTACTATCGCGTATCTCGCCTTATTTAGGTTAATGGGACGTACATCGAATGGAGAAGAGATAGACAGCAATATTTTATTGTTCTCGAATAGAAACTCAGACTGTATTCAATTCCTTCAATAGTTTAAATGAAATGAACTTTTTTTCTTCACCATTACGCAGTCATAGCAATAGTAACTAAATAGTTCAATTTAATTAAGTTTTAACCGAATTAACGGATATTCACCTTACAGTTGATATTCAATGCCCACCTCGCCAGTCGCCATAGTGAAGGTATGAAAATCGTCAGATATTTGCTAATAATGTGTCGGGCGGGGATTGAAGCTACTTTAAAAATTGTCTCCACATACTTAGTACCACTCTGGTCTTCGATCGATGCCTTGCAAAAAACAGCAATAACTCTTGCAAATACATTGAAATTTTCGAATAATTTCTAAGGCTTCTTTAGATTCTTGTCGCGCTCCAACAATGCTTTTCCAAATTGCTTAAATGGCGCAGGAATAGAGCAGAAGGGAGGCGGATTGACGAAGAGACACATATTCATATTTACATCAACTGATAATTTCATTCCTATTAAATGATATATATCATCCCTATCGATCCCTTCTTTTCGC